GGGGGCCCGGGCCTCGGACTCGGCCGCCGCCCCGGGGGGCCGGCGGGGTCGGCCGCTGGCCCCCGGCGTGCCACGGAGGCCTCCCTGAGAGCGGAGGCCTCCCGGCGGGGTCGGCCGCCGGCCCGGCGTGCCACGGAGGCCTCCCTGAGACCCAGACCCCCCCGAGTCATGAAAAAATCACGACGCGAGGTTTTTAGCTATTTTCGGCCTCCGGGGGCCCTTACCGGCCCTCAGGCCCGTCAAAAAACGACTCAGGATGAAAAGCCGGTCTCGGGGAATGGGTCCGGACCTCTGGGGGTCGCGTCATGAAAAAATCATGACGTCGGGGGTCTGGGGAGCGGGGGCGCGCACCGCCAGGGCGAGAGTACGCAGAAGACGCAGAAGACGCAGAAGACGCAGGACGAGATCCCCCCCCCGTTGGTCCTCCCCCCCCCCCTGGTCCCCAGACATCCGACGTCTCGATTTTTTTGAGACACGGGCCCCCGACCTCGCGACCACTTCCCCGGGACCGGTTTTTCATCCCGAGTCGTTTTTTGACGGTCCCGAGGCCCGGCGAGGGCCCCGGGAGGCCGAAAATAACGAAAAACCTCCGCCTCGATTTTCTCGAGACGACCGATGTCTGGGTCCTCACCCCCTCCTCGCCGCCCCCGCTCTCTCCAGTCAGGGCGGGGGGGCCCTGGGCCCTCGGACGCGGCCGGCGGCGCGCACCGCCGGGGGGCGGGCGGCGGGCTCGGCCGCCCGCCCGGCGTGGCCCGGAGGCCTCTCAGCTGAGAGCGGGGGCGCGCGCACCGCCAGGGCGAGCACGACGCTGTGATGCGACGTCCCCAGACATCGGGCGTCTCGAAAAAATCGAGACGGAGGTTTTTCGTTATTTTCGGCCTCCCGGGGCCCTCGCCGGGCCTCGGGACCGTCAAAAAACGACTCGGGATGAAAAACCGGTCCCGGGGAAGTGGTCGGGAGGTTGGGGGCCCGTGTCTCGAAAAAATCGAGACGTCGGATGTCTGGGTCTGGCGGAGGACGCGCGCCAGGAGTTCCAGACCCTCTCGAGTTGTGAAAAATTCACGACGGGAGGTTTTTCATTATTTTGGGGCTTTGGGGGCCCTTACCGGCCCTCGGGACCGTCAAAAAACAACTCAGGACGAAAAACCGGTCCCGGGGAATGGGTCGAGACCTCGGGGGGTCGACGTCATGAAAAAAATCATGCCGTCGGGGGTCTGGGGTTCTGGAGCCCTGGCGGCGAAGCAGGACATCGCGGCAAGCCTGATCGGCCGCCCGCCCGGCGTGCCTGGAGGCCTCCCCCTGAGAGCGGAGGCGCGCGCACCGCCAGGGCGAGAGCGACGCCGTGATGCGACTGGCGGAGGACGCGCGCCAGGAGTTCTGGAGCCCTGGCGGCGAAGCAGGACATCGCGGAAGTCCTGGAACTCTCTGGGGGTCTATGACGATGACGGCGCGCACCCTGGGGGGCGGCAGGGTCGGCCGCCAGCCCGGCGTGCCACGGAGGCCTCCCTGAGAGCGGGGGCGTGCACCGCCAGGGCGAGAATACGCAGAAGGCATCCATACACCACCGCTGTGCCAGGCCAGGGCTATCCTGGCCCCCTGGCATGGCGTCTGCGCCACTCTGGCCGAGGCAAGGAGGGCCTATACACCATCCAGGGGCCCAGGATGGCCCTGGCCTGACACGGTGGTGGTGTATAGATGCCTTCGTCGGAGAGAACAACGCCATGATGCGATTGGCTGAGGACGCGTGCCAGGAGTTCTGGAGCCCTGGCGGCGAAGCAGGACATCGCGGAAATCCTGTAACTCTTCTTGGAAGTCTACGACGATGACGATGACGATGACGATGACGATGACGATGACGATGTTTTCCCCCTAGTGCTGAAGTTTGAAGTGGGAAATCGCGGAAATCTGGGAGATCTCTGAAGTCTTGGCTCGCCATCGCTCGGCCGTCCCTCCCCCCGTGCATGTCTTGTTCGATGCCGTGCGTGCATGCTCTCGTTGAGAAGATCGAAGATCTGCTCCTCGATGGTCCTCGCCGGGAGAACAAGGCACACGTCCGAGGGAGATGCCAAGTTGGAACGCGTCGTCGTCACGGCTTCCTGCTCCTCTAGACAAGCGCGCTCCACCACTCGCAAACGGCCTGGCCCCGCCGCGGGAATCTTCGACCCCGGACAGCGAGGCCAACCTGCGGCGGTTTTCGGAAACCCTGAACCCAAAAACGGTTTGACCTCTTTCGGGCGTTGGCAGAACTGGGTTTAGTTTAGTGGGACCTGGTTTCATGATGTGTGCCGGGGGGCGCCTCCCCCCCGTGCCATTCCACTAGCCGGACCTGCCGTAATTGACCCGAAAAGCACCAGCTACGGCAGACCTGGTTTAGTCATTCCAGTCCATACTTGGGGCTTCGGGGGCCAATCACTAACTCGGCTCCCCTTGACCGGGGTCCTTTGTTCTATATATATATGTATATATATATATTATTTGTTTTGTTTTTTTATTATTTTTTATATTTTTTTTACTCTCTCGACTCTCGGGGGCGCATTGTTTACTTCCGCCGCCTTCCGCAGTCCTCCGCCGGAGGAGGCGGCCTCGTCCTGCTCCCGCCGACCCTCCGCGCCGCCCCCGCCGCAGCGCCAGCAGCTCCTCCCATCCTCGACTGCAGGGGCCGCTCCTGGAGCGCCCCTCGGCGCGCGTGCTTCGGACGCGCCCGCGAGCAGGCGCTCTCCGCGCGAGCCGCGGCCGCGCGCCCGGCGATCCCCTCGCCGAGCCTCGGGGGGCAGCCGCGCGCAGGCCCGCCGCGCCGCGGGCCGCGCGGCGGCGGGCGGCCGCGGGCGGCGGGAGGCGGGCCCCGCCTCCCGCCGCCGCCCGCTCCGCCCGCTGCCGGGGGGGGGGGCGGCGTCCTCGCGCAGAGGGGGCTCCCGGCAGGCGGGGCTCCACGAGCGCAGGGCTAGTCGCACGCGCGCCGAGGAGGGCGAGGCCAGGGCGAGGCTGCCCTTCGGGTCAGGGCAGGCCGAGGATCTCCGAGGTCCGGCGGCTCCGGGGCAGGTCTCGGGCGCCCGGGGGGGGCTCCGCGCGCACGGGGGCTCCAGGGCGGACGGGGCTCCGCGAGGGCAGGGTTCCACTCTGCACGCCGCCGCGCGGCGGAGGCAGCTCGCGCGCGCGCTCGGGCGGGCCGGGAGGCCGGCTGTCGCTCTCCTCCTCCTCCTCCTGCTCCTCCTGCTCCTCCTCCTCCTCCTCCTCCTCCTCCTCCTCCTCCTGCTCCTCCTGCTCCTCCTGCTCCTCCTCCTTTTCCTCTTCCTCCTGTCTGACGGCAAGGGAGGGTGGGGGGAGAAGCGGCCGCGGGACGGGGGGAGGGAGGAGGAGCGCTCTCATGGCGGAGGCCGCCGATGAGCGGCCGGGGGCGTAGGGCTCCCCACGCACGGGGCTCCCAACACCAAGGAAGGTCGAGGCCTGTTGCGCTCATGGTGTTGGGCCTACACGCCAAAACCACACCCAAAACGCATGACTGTACACGTCGTTCACTTCCAATTGTGTTCATTTCGCATTGTGCTCGTCTCTAATCGTCCCTGGCCCCCTGGTGGCCAGGAAGAGGCCCAGGACTGCACAACTTGGAAACGAGAGGATCTTGGCCCCCAAAGAAATCAAAGACCTCTCGAAGAATTAGACATGAGCAATGTGTACGCATGGCCCAGACCGGGAACCCTGAATCCAAGCACCCAGACCCCCGACGTCGTGATTTTTTCATGACGTCGACCCCCAGAGGTCTGGACCCTTTCCCCAGGACCGGTTTTTCATCCTGAGTCGTTTTTTGACGCTCCCGCGGCCCGGTGAGGACCTCCGGAGGGCGAAAATAGCGAAAAACCTTCCGTCGTGATTTTTTCACGACGCGAGGGGGTCTGGGCACGTTGGCATCCCTGGCGGTGGGGGGCGCATTGGCTCATTCCCGCTGGCACCCGCTGGCCTCCCGCCCGGCTCCACCGGCGGAGGCGCCCTCGCCTTTCCTCCGCTGCCCTTCGCCGAGGACGACGCCGACCCCTGCGGGCTTCGACGGCAAAGCCCTCTCCGGCACGCCCCATACGGCAAGCTCGTGTCGTGACGACCCTGGCGTTGGTTTCTGACACCGCGTGGATCGTTCAACCTTGAACGATCGGCGGCTTGTCGATCGCCCGATCGTTCCATGTAGGCCGATTCTGAGCCACTGGCGGCGTTCAACCTTGAACGCCCGCGGCTGGGTCGCCGCTGGTCGACGCGACGCGAACCTGCCGTACTCCAGATTTCGTAATAAAGGGAGGGGGGTCTCATTTCGGGGGGGGTCTCTTCCAAGCTATCTTGGAGGGCCTGGGGGGGTCTGAGGACGATGTTTGGGAGGGTTCTCCCACGGGGGGGGGGTCTGAAATGGCTTGTCTTGGAGGGTCCAGACCCCCTCCCTTTTATTACGACATCTGGAGTATCGTCTAGCCTTCGGATCCGAATTCGGGTCTCTGGCGGCCGCCTGGTCTGGCATGCTCCGAGCACCCCCATGGGCACCATCCCCGGGCTGGACATCTCCGTGGGGAATGGGGAAGCCAAAAGGTAACGGTACTCCAGATTTCGTAATAAAAGGGAGGGGGTCTCAACCCTCCCAGACGAGAAGTTTTAGACCCCCCCCCCGTGGGAGAACCCTCCAAAAGATCGTCCCCAGACCCCCCCAGGCCCTCCAAGATAGCCTGGAAGAGACCCCCCCCGAAATGAGACCCCCCTCCTTTTATTACGAAATCTGGAGTACCGCTCGGAATTTTCCCGGGGTGCGTTCTGACAAGGACTCCGAGGCGAATCCAGCGGTGGCGACGAGGGCCTCCCAGGAGGCCCCGAACGGCGAAAACGAGGGAAGCGTAGCGGTATCGGCCCCTTGTCATCCCCAAAGAGAGGCGACGAAAACTCCCGAATACCCTTCGGAATGCCCCCCATCGCCGCCCGAGGCAGCTGCCACTGCCGCCCCCGATGTTGCGGCTTTGGCCCCAGGCCGCCCGAGCAGCCCAGCGCCGGCCGGCGCCATGGGCTCGAAGCCCTCGCGGTCGTGGCGCCAGGCATGCACGCTCAAGTCCGAGAGGTCCACGCAGTAGAACTTGGTGTAGTTGAAGGAGCAGGCGAAAGCGAGCATGCTGCCCCGCCTCTGCGTCGAGCGAGAGGACGCGAGTGGGAACGGGAGCAGGAGGAGGAGCATCAGCAGGAAGAGCAGCGAAAGCAGCGGCACCATATGCGTGTGAAGGAGGAGGAGCAAGACGACACGAGAAGAGAGAAGAGAAGGGGATAATGAAAGGAAAAGGTAGCGTGGGAGGAAATGGGGAGGAGGGAGGGGGGAGAGGGGAAGCAGAAAAGCTAAGTGAGCTCGCTCCATGTCTGGCATCCTACATATACGACCACCCTTCGGGTGACAAGGAGGCTTTGGGGTGGACGAACTAACTGAGGACAACTGGGATGATCGTGATGGTGGCGATGCTGGTGATGCACTCACGATTTTGCGATGATGGCACCGACGGGACACCGATGATGACACCGACGGGTCGTCCAGAACTGTAACTCCTGGAAGCGTTTTTGAGTACAATGCGCGCGGCACTACACGTCGTTCATTTCTAATCGTGCTCATTTCTAATTCTGCTCGTTTCTAATTGTTCCTGGCCCCCCAGTGGCCAGGAAGAGGCCCAGGATAGAACAGTTAGAAATGAAAGGATCTTGCCCCCCCAAAAAGTCAAAGACCTTTCGAAGAATTGGAAGTGAACAATGTGTGTAGCCAGCACCACATGTGGCACCGAGAGGAATGTGCGCGGCGCGGCGGGAAGCCACATGGCTAACAATAAGTCGGGCCTGTCCTCCCACAGAGAATTTTGGACTCAAAATAAAAAGTAGTCCACACATACCCCCAGATGGGAAAAAATACTAAAAAAACGTCCCCTGACTATTTTTTGACTATGCTTGAATATTCCTCCTGTAGAGGGACAGGCCCGGCTTAGGGTTAAAAACGAAGAGCTCTTAAAAACATGACACGCCCAGCCTGGCCTACAGGCACGCCTGGGCGGTGCGACCGGGGAGGCTGTAGGAGAAGAAAGGGGGGAGAAGAACGTTGGAGGAGAGGAAAGGGAGCAGGGGGAAGGGAGGAGGGGGGGGAGAGGGAGGGGAGAACATCAGGAAGGAGAAGAAGGGGAGAACATCAGAGAAGAAAGGAGGAGACGGAAGTTGGAGCAGGGGGAGGGGGAGGAGGGCGACTGCCTACCGGACCCCCCCAACCCAACCCGAAGGCCCGAATTTGACCCGAATTTCGGGTTGGGGAGGGGGCGGTACGGGTTCCGTGTGTTTTTTCCCATGTGTTCCCCGACCCCCTCCCCACTGGAAATGGAGGGCAAATTGAAGCCTTCGGGTTGGGTTGGGCTGGTTTGGTGGGTGGTGAGAGGGGGGGGAGAGGGAGGGGAGAATATCAGGAAAGACCTTCCCTGCCTGCCACTCGCCCACCCGACGGCAGCGATCACTGCGGTCTGGACCGCCGAGCCTGCCGAAGGCTCCGCCCATGTTGTGGATCGTCTCCGTGAGCTTCAGGGCGTCGGCCAGGGGAAGGAAGACGACGGACACCTCCACCAGTGTTCGGCGGACGGGAGGAGGGAGGCAGAGGGACGAGGAAGAGGGAAGAGGGGAGGGGAAAAGGGTGAAGTGGGGTGGGGGGGGAGAGAAGGGATTACCGGCCTCGCTACAGTCTTCAAGGGTGCCTGAATCCAGATTTCAGGATTAGACGGTCATCAAAGAAAATTTGGAGACCGTGCAGCTGGCAGAAGATCCAAATCCAGTCCCACGGACGTCCGCAAGAGGCCCAGAAAGGCCTCCAGAAAGGCTCCGAGAGGACCCCAAGATGATCCCAAGAGGTCCCAAAAGGGCCGCAGGAACTCACCAGGAGGCTCCCAAAAGCCCTCCAAGAGGCATCCCCAGACACCATATGATGCACCCAAGACGCCTCTGGCCCACAACCCAGTCACGGCGGCGGGATGGGCCGAGGACCACTCGATAACTGCTACTCCCAAGCGCGTCGGTCCTCCACCCCGTGTTGGCTTACCACAGAGGTACAGGGCGTGCTGGGCGTTTGCTCTTGAGTCCTACCTAATCCCCATAGGGTTCCGGCAAATCGCGCTGGCCACCCAGAAAAATGTACTCCTTGTCTTTCCGCCCCATACGGACCCGTAAACTTCCCTGGTCGTCGGACTTCCCGCTCCAGACGGCCACAAGATGGCCTCCAAGACGGCCGAGATGGTCTCTAAGACGGCTGCAACGGCTCCAAGAGAGCCTGAGATGGTCCCAAGATGTCTCTAAGACGGGCCGGCATGCCCTCAAGATAGCCTCCAGATCGCCCAAGACGGCCCCAAAAGCCTCCAAGACGGCTCAAGAGGCCTCCAGGCCTGCAGCAAGGCCCGAGGAGGCCAAAACCACTGATTTGTAAGTCGGTGGTCGAAGGGTTCCACCATTTGCACATGTTCGCCTTTCCAGCGGCCCAAGACGAACCCAGAGGCCACCACGGTGGCCCCAGAGCGCCCAAGAGGCCTCCGAGATGGCCCCGAGACGGCCCCAAGGGGGCCCGAGGACGGCTCAGGAGACCTCCGGGAGGCCCAGGATGGCCTCCAAGACGGCCCGGGAGCGCCCCAAGAGGTCCCCAAGACGACCAAGAGAGGCCCCCCAAACGGCTTCCGACGGCGTCTGACGGGCCAGGAACGCCCTCAGACGGCCCAAGAGCCTCCCTGGTTCCTCACTTGCCTCCTCTTCTTCTTTCCGCACACCTTGCCCGAAGGGTTTCCACAACGGCTGGGGCCACACATAGTCTGATGGCTCGGCCGAGCTCTGACCTCAACGTTTGGCCACCTAGGTGATGTTTTCGAAAAGCACGGAGGCGGCGATGATTCGCCGTAGTCGTCGTCGACAAGACAGCCCAGGCGTTCCGCCTGAGACGTCCTCGCCTCTTGAGATGCTGAAGCGTAAATGCTCGAAAGCTGCAAGGACTGAGGGCGTGACTTTCCCAAAAAGGCCTCTGGCATTAGCGCCGTTCACAGTCGGTTTACAAGCTCGCACACGTCTGACGCAGGGCGGTACCTTTTTAAACAACCAGGTTCCGCCTGAGAGACGCGCATACTCGTGTTCAAGCTTTGCAGCCGTTGGCACACGTTCGCACGTAACCGCCACAAAGAGTTGCAACAAATATGCAAATAGATGTCGACAGCTTTTCAACATGCAATTGTCGCCTCGGCGCCGCGCGCATTTGTTCTCAAAGCCTGCAGGAGCTACGATAATGGTGGGCGGTACGCGTTCAAAACGGAGCACCCGCCTCAGCGCCGGGCACGTTCGTCGCAAAAGCCTGCAACAGTCAACATATTAGAAGACGTGACGTGTTCAACAATGGCATTGTCGCTTTGGACTTCATGACGAGTTGAACGACTGGAAGCTCGAACGAGGCTGGACGACAGGACGTGTTCAGACTGGGGCTAACAGGTGATACTTCCTCGCATGCAATCGCCAGACATGTAAACCTGTGCAACCGATGCACGGATGTGGGCGCTCCTGTAACACACCATGAAGATGTAGGAATGTACCTTCCCGCATTCTTAAACACGTCGTTAATTTCTAATCGTGCTCATTTCTAACGTGCTCGTTTCTGATTGTTCCCGGCCCCCTAGTGGCCAGGAAGAGGCCCAGGATAGAACAGTTAGAAATGAACTGATCTTGGCCCATTATAAAGCATGAACAACGTGTTGTTGGTGTGTGTCTGTGTGTTTTGTGGGGGGGGATCAAAAAACAACCTTCAACAATAGCTTGCCCTGGTCGCGCCTCGCGCGGCGTTTGGGCTGGCACTCTAGCAGCCCACCTCGCGAGCCCTCATCGGAACCTTGCCCGGGGCCCCTTGCCCTTCAACGTCAGAGCGTTCTCCAAGTCATCCATCAGAGCATCACGCTTCTCAAGGACTCCCAACTTCGCGCTTCGCGCTGCGCGAAGCGCGAAGTGCGAATAACTTCGCGCTCTCGCGCCGCCTCCCAGGGGAGAAGAGGAGGACGAGGAGGAATCGGAGTCGAACCGCGGAGCGCGAATGACTTCGCACCCTCAGGGGCGCCCTTGGTGCTGCAAGTCACTCATCAGAGCATCACGCTTCTTGATGATGTCCTGGCACTTGCTTCGGGGGCGGCCAAGAGGGGGGCGTCCAAGAAGGGGGGGGTGCAAATCATGGCTGGCGGCATGTGCGCGGCCCTTGGGGGGGGGCCAGGGACGTAAGGAGATAAGAAGAGGCGCCCTGAAATCTGGGGACATGTCATGGCCCCCGCCATGATATCCCCCCCCCCTAGTCTTGTGTCGGGCGTGTCCCCCTACAGGGGGATTTTCGACGAAAATTTACAATACCCCACAAATACCCCAAAAAGGTCAAACAATGCTCAAACAATAATCCCCTGGCTATTTTTTGACAAAGTTTGGATTATGTTTGGGGTATGTTGATTTTTCGTCGAAAATCCACATGTCCGGGGACAGGCCCGACTTAACCCTAGTCATCCCCCCCCTAGTCATGATATCCCCCCCCTCTTTGCCCCCCCCCCTAGTCATGATACCCCCCCCAGTCATGATTTCCCCCCCCCCCTAGTCACCTCCCCCTAGTCATGGCCCCCGCCATGATATCCCCCCCCCCCTAGTGTTATGTCGGGCGTGCCCCCCATACAGGGGGATTTTCGACAAAAAATTAAGAATATCCCCCAAAATACCCCAAAATACCCCCAAAAATACCATGATATCCACCCCCTAGTCATCCCCCCCCCCTCTTGCGCCGCCCCCGATGGCCCCCGTGCCTCCCGCGCCCCCTGCGGGGCGCCACGGCCGCGTGCCGGGCGCCCCCCCCCTGCCGAGAGAGGCCCCGTTGGTTCATTTTGGGGGTATCTTTTATTTCTCGTCGAAGATCCCCCCGGAGGGGGACATGCCCGACTTAACCCTAGTCATCCCCCCCCCTCTTGGCCGCCCCCGATGGCCCCCGTGCCTCCCGCGCCCCCCGCGGGGCGCCACGGCCGCGCGCCGGGCGCCCCCCCCCTGCCGAGAGAGGCCCCGTTCTGGCTCCTCGCCCTCCGGGCAGGCAGGCCCGCGGGGCGCGCTCGCCGCCGCGGCTGTTCCCGGGGAAGCGCCCCTCTCGGGCGGGGAGCGGCAGGGCGGCGCGCGGAGACCTGCACCTCCTCCTCCTCCTCCTCCCTCCTCCTCCTCCTCTCCTCCTCCTCCTCCTCCTCCTCCTCCTCCTCCTCCTCATCCTCCTCCTCCGCCTCCGCCTCCTCCTCCTCCGCCTCCTCCTCCTCCTCCTCGGAGGAGGAGGAGGAGGAGGAAGAGGAGGAGGACGAGGAGGAGGAGGAGGAGGAGGAGAGCGAGCAGCAGGACGGCGCGCAGGTTGTGGATGCCACGACAATGGACACCCTAGCAGTAAGTCGGGCGTGTCCCCCTCTCCGGGGGGATTGTGGACGAAGAATAAAGAATACTCCAAAAAATACCCCAAAAGTATGCAAGAATGCTCAAAAAATAGTCCCCAGACAATGTTTCGCCTATTTCTGAAGATTCGTCCTGTAGAGGGACAGGCCGACTTAACCCTAACAGTCCTATCACTGAATTTAAAGATGTGTTAAAGATGTTGGATTTGTGTTCTGAACATGCTTTAATGGTGTTTTGTTTCGCATGTTCAATACATGGTCAACACATGTTTTAGACATCTGGAAGTTACTTGGCAACATGCTTCCTCTCCATTGATCGTCCTCCACAACCTGTGGGGAAGCAGGCCGGGGACGGGGGGGGCGTGCTGCCGATCCGTTGACGCATCCGTGGCTCCCTACGGTGGAGGCTCTTGCGAAGGAGTAGTCCCAGGAGGCGCCGGACCCCGGAGGATTCCTCGTCCGACGAGGGCGGCGGTGGTATCCATGGCCGATCCACGAGCGGCGTTCCACTGGCCTCCAGACCCTGGGTTCCTAATCGAAGGGTTACTCACCCAACGCCCCCACCGTATGGTGTTCCTCCTCCTTCTTGTCATCCCCCCTTTCACGTTCACCATCCCGTGGTCGTTCGATTGGTACGCGTAGGATTCACCGTCTTCTTGTCAGTTAAGGCATGTTGTCACAGAAATATGTGTTACCAGTATTATCGTGATGGTGTTGATTACACGTGCTTTCAGCAATCGTCGACATATGTTGATCCACGTGAGCATCCGCGCCATTATCATTGATGCTCCTTCTCGTCCTCATCATCAAATGCTCCTCCCCCTCCACCCGGGTGATTTTAACGGACGAGGCAGGACCATCATGGTCTTCCTCAGATTCCCACCCCCTCGTCATCATCGTCCTTCCTTGATTTGCTTTCGACGGGCGGGGGCGCAGAATCATCATCATCCTCATCCTCATCCTCATGATCAGCATCATCATCATCATCACCATCATCATCGTCATCATCATCATCTCATCCTCATCCTCATCCTCGTCCTCGTCCTCGGCATCATCATCATCATCATCATCATCATCATCATCATCATCATCATCATCATCATCATCATCATCATCATCCTCATTAACATCCTCCTCATCATCATCCCCCTCCTCCTCCTTATCCTCAGCCTCCTTATCCTCATCCTCATCGTCATCAGCATCAGCAGCAGCATCATCATCATCATCATCATCATCATCATCAGCATCATCATGATCATCATCAGCATCATCGTCATCAACCTCATCCTCAGCAGCAGCATCATCGTAATCATCGTCACCACAATCATCAATATGACCACCACCACCATCATCGTCATCAGTATCATGATCATCATCATCATCATCATCAGGACCAGCATCAGCAAGACCATCATCATCAGCATCATCATCACCGCAACTACTAACATCGTCAGCAGCGTCATCATCATCAGCTGAAATAGAAAAGGCAGCATGATCGTATGCAGCATCAGCATCAGATTGAGCACTGTCATCAGCATCCTCGTCCTTATACTCATTAGCATCGGCATTAGCACCAGCATTGCATCATCAGCTTCACCAGCATCATCATCATCATCATCACTACCTGCATCCTCAGCATCGACATCATCATCAGCAGCAGTATCATCATCAGCATCAGCATGATCAGCATCTGCGTCATCATCATCATCATCATCATCATCATCATCATCATCATCATCATCATCATCATCATCAGTATCAGCATCAACATCCTCATCATAAGCATCATCATCATCAACATCGCCACCACCGTCAGCATCAGCATTAGCAGATTGGTCATCATCTGCATCAGCATCACCATCATCAGCAGCAGCATCGGCATATGCATCATCACCACAATACTCATCATCCTCAGCAGCATCAACAACATCAGCATCAACATCATCAGCAGCATCATCAGCATCATCGGAATCATAATCATCGTCATCCGCATCATCACCATCATCATCAGCAGCATCAGCATCATCAACAGCATCACCAGCAGCATCGTCATCGGCATCATAAGCAACGTCACCAGCATCGCCGTCATCACCATCAGCATCATAACCATCATCGTCAGCATCACCACCACCATCATCAACATCGGCATCAACATCAGCGTCGGCATCATAATCAGACTCGTCATCATGAGCAACATCCTCAGCGTTAGCACACGCAACATCACCAGCTGCATCGTCATCAGTAGCATCATCATGAGCACCATACGCATTCATCATCAACACAAGTTTCAGCATGATCACCAGAAGCATCCGCATCATCATCAGCACCATCAGCATTACCATCATCAGCACAGTCATCAGCATCGTCATCAACAGCATAATCATCATCATCATTGAACCCCGCATAGTCATCATTGCACTCATCAACATTATCAACACCATCAGCATCATCAGCAGCATTAGCATCGTCATCATCATCGCAAGCATCCTCAGCATCCTCAGCATCCTCAGCATCATCAGCATCATCAGCATCAGCTTCGGCATCATCGGCATCCGACTCATCATCACCCGCATCGTCTGCCTGGTCATCATCATCAGCAGCATCAGTATCAGCATCATCAGCAATATCACCATCACAGCATCATCAGCATAATCAACATCAGCAGCATCATCAGCAGCATCAGCATGATGATAATCATCATCATCATCATCATCATCATCATCATCATGATAATCAGCTTCGGCATCATCGGTATCAGCATTATCAGCATCAGCAGCATCAGCATCGGTATCATCGTCAGCACAATCATCATCGTCATCACCATCACCAGCATTAGTATCAGCATCAGCATCAGCATCAGTATCAGCATCATCAGCATCAGCATCAGCATCAGCATCAGCATCATCCGTGTCATCATCTTCATCATCATCATCATCATCATCATCATCATCATCATCATCATCATCATCATCATCATCATCATCGTCAGCATCCGCATCATCATCACCAGCATCACCAACAGCATCCTCATCCTCATCCTCCTCCTCATCATCATCGGAATCAGCATCACCATCAGCATCATCGTCATCACCAGTATCAGCATCAGCATCAGTAGCATAACTAAACGTCAACATCATGAGCATCATCAGCAGCAGCATCATCGGCATCAGCATCAGCAGCATCAGCATCAGCATAATCATAATCATCAGCAGCATCAACTTCCTCATCGTCATCATCAGCATTATCAGCACAATAATCTCATCGCCAGCTTCCGCATCAGCAGCATAATCGTCAACATCATGAGCATCATCATCAGCAGCATAATCATCAGCATCCGCATCAGCATCAGCATCAACAGCATCATCATCATCATCATCATCATCATCATCATCATCATCATCATCATCATCATCATCAGCAGCAGCAGCAGCAGCAGCAGCAGCAGCAGCATCCCCCGCCTCCCCGCCAGCTCCTCCTCACTGACCCCCCGAGAGGCGCCGCCGCCACCCGCCCCAGCACGCCACGCCGAGCTTCCCGCCCCACCCGCGCCCGCGCGCGCTGGCGGGGGAGGCGGGCGCGCCGGTACGAGGCCGCGGTGCGAGGCGGCGGTGCGAGGCGGCGGCGGGCACGCGCGGGTCCCTCCTGCCGTCCTTCCCCCTGTGCTGCTCACCCGCTGCCCTCGCTGCTCCATGCCCTAGAGCCCCGGGGCCTCGTGGTCGTACACCGCGTAGCCGCCGAACAGGCCGCTGGCCCAGCGGTCGTCGTTGCGGAGCAGCCGCTGCTGCAGCGGCACGCCGCTGACCTGCCCGCCGCCATCCTGCTCCGACGGCACAAAGCGCGGGGCGCCGGCGGGGGGAGGGGAGGACGGAGGGGGGAGGGGGACGGGAGGGGAGGGGAGGGGAGGGGACGGAGGGGAGGGGGACGAGGGGAGGGGGACTGGAGGGGGAAGGGGTGGACGGGATAGAGGGGGAAGGGGGGGAGGGGAGAGGGGAGGGGGAGGGGAGGGGAGGGAGGAGGGGATTGATGCGAGGCTGACGGACATGGGGAAGGATAGTGCACGTCAGGGCGAGGGGAGGGGGCGGAGCTCAGGGGAGGGGCGGGGGCGAGGAGGATAAGGGGGGGGAAGGAGGTCACGTGGGTAGGGGCAGGCGGGGACGCAATGGGGGAGGGGGGGGAGGGACAAGGGCAGGTGGGGGGGTGGGGGGGGGCAATTCGGCCCCTGACTTTCGTCCTGGGTTCGATTTAGTGAAGTGATGAATTTCGGGGTCCTTACGTGGGAAAACATCACTTCACTAATCTGGGGCCCCTGGGGCCTCAGTCGGCCCTGGGGCCCAAAATTAGTGAAGTGATGGTTTTCGGGCCTCGGAAGGGGGGTAGCTCGGTGAGGGAGGCCGCCGCCAAAGTTGGCCGAACGGCCCCAGCCCGCAGCCCGAAACAGCTTTTTGCCCCGGGGATCGTCTGCGGCAGCAAGAGCCGGAGACGCAGCGAGGGAGCGGGGAAGCCGAAGCGGGAGGACGGGGGGGATGGGAAGCGGGAGGAGGGCCACCCTCGAGAGAGAGCGCGGCAATGCCCTCCCACAGCACGGAAGAGAAGCCGATACGGGAGCGGGAGCAACGGAAGCGGGGGCCAGAGCAGGAGCAGGCTCATGAGTGACAGCAGAGTGCGGAGCAGGGGCAGGGAACACGGTGGCAGCGCGCGCAGAAGCAGGAGAAAGGGCGGGAGAAAAAACGGGCGAGGGACTAGGAGAGGAGAAGGGACGTGCGTGAGCGACATGAGCCCAACCACGAAATCGATGCCAGGCTATATGCGGCCTGCTGCGCGCGAGTGCGGGCGAGGCCACGCCGCGCGAGGGCGACGACGCGCCAGGGCCAGGTCGCACAGAGAAGTCCTCTGGCAGTCACGAGACAGCTCGCCGCTTGGGCCCCCCGCCAGCCCAAACGGCGAGCACACATCGGGCGCAGCCCCAGACGCATTCGAATGCCCACACTTCATCCTCGTACTGCTCGTGTTCCACCCCGTCCTCCTCCCCATCCTCATCGTCGTCGTCGTCCTCCTCCTCGTCATCCTCATCTTCCTCCTGCTCCAGCTCCTCCTCGTCGTCCTCGTCTAGGCCCTCGACCACGTTTCCCCCCTTCCTCCTCATGTTCATCCTCCTTCTCTGGGCACCTCGGCGGCCGAGAATAAAACAGTCTCCTATCGGTTGCGCCATACGAAAATAAAACCGTCTCCTAACGGTTGCGCCATAGGCTGCGCCCTCGGCGGCTGAGAATCAACCGTTTCCTATCGGTTGCGCTATAAGTTGCGCCCTCGGCGGGCGAAAATAAAACCGTCTCCTAACGGTTGCGCCATAGGCTGCGCCCTCGGCGGCTGAGAATCAACCGTTTCCTATCGGTTGCGCTATAAGTTGCGCCCTCGGCGGGCGAAAATAAAACCGTCTCCTAACGGTTGCGCCATAGGCTGCGCCCTCGGCGGCTGAGAATCAACCGTTTCCTATCGGTTGCGCTATAAGTTGCGCCCTCGGCGGGCGAAAATAAAACCGTCTCCTAACGGTTGCGCCATGGGTTGCGCCCTCGGCGGCCGAGAATAAAATCGTCTCCTATCGGTTGCACCATGGGTTGCGCTCTCGGCGGCCGAGGGTAAAACCGTCTCGTATCGGTTGCGCCATAGGTTGCGCCCTCGGCGGCCGAGAATAAGACTGTCTCCTATAGGTTGCGTTATAGGTTGCGCCCTTCGCGGCCAAGAATAAAGCCGTCGCGCGATGGGCGCGACCAGTCCGTTCAGTTCAGTTCAGTCAGTTTACCTCGCGAGAAAAGAATTCGGGCTACGCCCGAAAACAACACCTGACGCGCATTCTCTGTCTCTGCCTTTCCGCGCTCTCTCGGCTCGGCCTGCCAATGGCGCGCGTACGGTTCCGCCCGCAACTGCTGGGTTCGGCTGGTGTCGCCTAGATGCCCAGCCACCTGTGCGTTGTGTGTTGTGTGTTGTGTGTAATGTGTGTTGTGTGTTGTGTGTGTTGTGTCTGTTGTGTGTCTGTTGTGTGTTGTGTGTTGTGTGTTGTGTGCGTGCGTGTGCGAGTGCGTGTGTGTGTTTTGTGTGTGTGTTGTGAATGTGTGTTGGGTGTTGTGTGTGATGTGTGTTGTGTGTTGTGTGTTGTGTGTGTGTTGTGTGTTGTGTGTTGTGTTGTGTGTTGTGTATTGTGTGTGTTGTGTGTGTCATGTGTGTCGTGTGTGTTGTGTGTTGTGTGTGGTGTGTGTTGTGTGTTGTGTGTGCCCGTTGTGTCTGTTGTGTGCTTGTTGTGTGATATTGTGTGTGCGTGTGGGTGTACGTGTGCGTGTGTGTGTGGTGTGCGTTGTGTGTGCTGTGTGTGTTGTGTGTTGCGTGTGTTGTGTGTGTTGTGTGTGTTGTGTGTGTTGTGAATGTTGTGTTGTGTCTGTTGTGTGTCCGTTGTGTGTCTGTTGTGTGTCTCTGTTGTGTGTGCTGTGTGTTGTGTGTGTTGTGTGCGTGTGCGTGCGTGTGTGTTGTGTGTTGTGTGTGTTGTGTGTTGTGTGTGTGTTGCGTGCGTATTGTCTGTGTTGTGTGTAAGTTGTGTGTTATGTGTTGTGTGTTGTGTGTGCTGTGTGTTGTGTATGTTGTGTCTGCTGTTTGTCTGTTGCGTGTCTGTTGTGTGTGTTGTGTGTTGTGTGGTGCGTGTTGTGCGTGTTGTGTGTGTGCTGTGTGTTGTGTTGTGTGGTGTGTGTGTGTGTGTGTTGTGTGTTGTGTGTCTGGTGTGTGTCAGTTGTGCGCGTTGTGTGTGAAAGTGATGTGTGCGCGCGCGTGCGTGTGCGTGTGCGTGTGTGTATTGGTTGTGATGTGTGCGTGAGTGGTGTGTGTGCTGTGTGTTGTGCGTTGTGTGTGTTGTGTGTGTTGTGTGTAAGTTGTGTGTTGTGTGTTGTGTGTTGTGTGTCTTGTGTGTGCGGTGTGCCTGGTGTGCGTCTGTTGTGTGTGTTGTGTGTGTCGTGTGTGGTGTGCGTGTTGCGTGTCTGTGTGTTGTGTGTGTTGTGTGTGGTGTGTGTTGTGTGTCTGTTGTGTGTGTGTGTTGTGTGTGTGTTGTGTGTCTGTTGGGTGTCTGTTGTGTGTGTTGTGTGTGTTGTGTGTTGTTTGTGTGCGTGTGCGTGTGCGCGCGTGTGTTGTGTGTGGTGTGTGTGTTGTGTGCGTGTTGTGTGTTGTGCGCGTGTGGTTTGTCTGTGTTTCGTGTGTTGTATGTTGTGTATGTTGTGTGTGTTGTGTGCGTCGTGTGTGTTGTGTGTTGTGTGTTGCGTGTGGTGTGGGTGTGTGTGTGTTGTGTTGTGTGTGTTGTGTGGCGTGTGTTGTGTGTTGTGTGTTGTGTGTGTGTTATGTGTTGTGTCTGTTGTGTGTCTGTTGCGTGTGTGTTGTTGTGTGTGTGCGCGCGTGCGTGTGCGTGTGCGTGTGCGTGCGTGGTGTGTTGCGTGTGTTGTGTGTGTGTTGTGTGTGTGTGCTGCGTGCGCGTGTGTTATGTGCGGTGCGTGCGTTGTGTGTGTGGTGTGCACCGTGCGTTGTGTCTGTTGTGTGTCTGTTGTGTCTCTATTGTGTGTATGTTGTGTGCGTTGTGTGTGTTGTGTGTGTGATGCGTGTGCGTGTGCGTGTGTGTGTTGTGTGTGTTGTGTAATGTGTGTTGTGTGTTGTATTGTGTGCGTGTTGTGTGTTGTACGTGTTGTGTGTGTGCGTTGCGCGTTGTGCGTTGTGCGCGTTGTGTGTTCTGCGTTGTGTGTTGTGTGTGTTGTGAGCTGTGCGTGTTGCGTTTGTTGCGTCTGTTGCGCGTATATTGTGTGTGGTGAGTTGCGCGGGTTGTGGGTGTGATGTGTGTTGTGTGTTGTGTGTTGTGTGTATTGTGTGTGCTGTGTGTCTGGTGTGTCTGTTGGGTGTCTGTTGTGTGTGTTGTGTGCGTTGTGCGCGTGCGTGCGCGAGTGCGCGCGTGTGTATTGTGCGTTGTGTGTGTTGTGTGTTGTGTGCGTTGTGTGTGTTGTGTGTGATGTGTGTGTTGTGCGATGTGTGTTGTGTGCGTTGTGTGCGTTGTGAGTCTGTTGTGTATGTTGTGTGTCTGTTGTGTGAGGTGTGTGAGTTGTGTGTTGTGTGTGTTGTGTGTTGTGTGTTGTGTGTGTGTTGTGTGCGTTGTGTATTGTGTGCGTTGTGAGTGGTGTGTGTCTGTTGGGTGTCTGTTGTGCGTTGTGTTTGTTGTGTGTTGTGTGTGCGTGTGCGCGTGCGTGTGCGTGCGCGCGTGTTGTGTATGTTGCGTGTGTTGTGTGTTGTGCGTTGTGTGTTTTGCCTGGTTTGTGTGTTGTGCGTGTTGTGTGTGTTGTGTGTTGTGTGTGTTGTGTGTGTTGTGTGTGTTGTGTTTTGCGCGTTGTGTGTCGTGTGTGTTGTGTGCGTTGTGTGTGTTGCGTGTTGTGTGTGTTGTGTGCGTTGTGTGTTGTGGGCGTTGTGCGCGTGTGTTGTGTGTATGTGTTGTGCGTTGTGTGTCTGGTGTCTGGTGTGTCTGTTGTGTCTGGTGTGCGTTGTTGGGTGTGTGCGCGTGCGCGTGCGTGTGAGTGCGCGTGGTATGTGCGTTGTGCGTTGCGTGCGCCGCGTGTGTTATGTGTGCGTGCGTTGTGTGTGTTGTGTGTTGTGTGTTGTGTTTGTGCGCGTTGTGTGTTAGTTAGCGCGGGGCCTATAAAGGCTAAAGAAAGCCCACAAAGGGCCCAGGCCCCACTGAGGGGCCAGAGCCACAAGGGGCCGTCCCAAAACAGGGGGCGGGCCACAAGGGAC